ATAAACTATATTGACAAAGAATCAATGCAGACACAGTTGCACGCAGCCTTCCTTAGTTTGGAGTTCACTCTTAAGGAAATGGTTCTGCGGCTAGCTCCACATAAGACAGAACTGATAAGCATAAACGACAGTAATTGCACCAAAGAGAAAATACGTATCTTACTCCCCATTGGATCGCTCACTATACCATCAAAAATGGACAAATAAAAGTTTAGGTTTACCAATGGCAAGCTGAAACAGTCCGCAAATGTGGGTACATGGACTGCGGCAGGCATAGCCAGTCATATTACATATGATACGCCGTCTGTCCAATAAATACGAAAGGTGCACGACAACAAGCCTGTCGCAGTCTCGCAAGGGCTGCAGCCGTTGGAAATATTTTGTATGGCGCTCCCATATGCACATTCTCTGTGTGACCTGTTCGGTTGGATCACGTATCTCGCCACATTCTGTCGAAGTAAATCTGGTGGTTGAATGCATTGCTTATAATGGCGACTTCACTGTGTTTTCATTTTTGAACAGCGAACTTCTGCAGACTACACAATGCGGAAAGTTGCAATAAACCTTACCGGTGACTTACCACAGTGCGCTACGTACACGATGCCACTGCCACGGCCGCTGATAGTGCGACTGTCACCTCTCTCTTTCTTTGTTGTTGTGGTTGGCATTTCGAGCCAATGGGTTTCAATTGAGCAGAGATTATTATGTTTACATAAAAGCATGAAAGCACAACGTTCCAGTTTCCGCACGGGAGCTTCGTTCACAATTAAAATTATTGTGCCAACAGTTCAAATATGTATATTTTAAATGGGACTCTGAATCATCAGAGAGTCAAGATGTAGCCCGAAAGTCCAGTTCTTTTTCCTTTGTTTTGGTTATTTCTACCTTAAGCTGGTCTATTTCGTGGCCAGTCACTTCTGCGTGTTTACCCAGTGCGTTAGATGAAATGTTCTTCCTTACACCATACATGCTCCGCTATAATATTCGCTAACGCTTATTTTTCTCGCCACCGTAACTTTTGCAGTAATTTCAGTTTTACAGTTTACAGTTTTTCCTCGGGCGTCCGACCCCATGTGTGTACCCAACCCCGCGGGTTTTCGTCCGCCAATGGCGTAGCCATGGGGTGGCACACCAAGCCCATCACCCCCCCCGCCCTCCGAATTTTCCAATAGTATATAGCGCACGAAATAATGGTCGCCCACACCTGCATGCCCGGCCCCCAGTTCTAAATAAGGTGGTGCCCCCTCCGAAAAAAATTTCTGCCAACGCGCCACACGTCTGCGACTTCAGCTCGCAAGGTTCCTTGCTTGTTGATTACATCTGCAGAATTGACCCATAGCCACTGTCACTTCCTCTTAATGTTGTTTTGATCTACAGGCGAAAAGGTGTTCAACTTCGAAAACGGATTTGTCTTCGAAGAGCTGCCGTGAAGTATCATACAGCTGGTGAATGAAACTGAAAAAAAAAAAAAACACTGCAGCACAGGCAATTTTACTGAAACATGAAATTGTCGTTAGATCATGGTACGCAAGACCTGCTCAAGGGCGTAAAATAATACGTTTGGCTAATCACATTTTTCAAATCACTGTTTATCTCTTTGTAGAAGCTTCGAAACTGAACTAGTCGCTCATAATTTTCACCCATGTGTGGCTAGATGGTGATCGAATGTGCAACGTGTGACCACTTTAGAAATTTTGCACAATAAATGTTAGGAGTGTGCCACGGAGAAAAGTTACAACTCTGAATGAGGCATGCGTGATTCTCACGCTTGCCCGCAATCTTAACAGAAAGGTTGCAACTGCATGTGGCTGTAAGAATGCTGTGTTGCTTAACACAAAGCGGGGAGTCCACTTGCGCGGTCCTGGTAGGGTTATACATGCTAAACATAAATGTATTTTGTGCATGCTTGAATGCCAACTTCGGCTCGTCTTTAGATGTAAACCTACAATTAATGAAGTAGCGTAATTGCGTGCACTTTAGCATTAATACCCATTTTCTTTACCAATAATTTCTTTACTATTATTACCCATCTGATGCTTCAATTCGACACGGAATGAGTAGTCACCTTGTACAGAGGCGGCGTGCTCGGCCACTCTTTAGGTGGCCATAACAGTCAGGCCTAGTGAAAACATAAACACTTTTCCAGGGCAGTTATTTAGCAGTTCATGCAATCAGGGAAGAAGCTGCAACAGTATTTTAGTGATTTCGTTGAGTGAAGCATAATATGAATAATAATAATATTAATAATAATAATAATAATAATAATAATGATAACGAGATGCGAAGGCGGCTCCGAGCTGTGCGCGAGAGGCCGGCGGAGCAATCCAACCATGCACGTCGCAGAGATTTCTCCACATAGTGGCGCCACATTATTCCCTCGCGCCCAACAGCATAGATTTGCGCGCAGACCACCGAGTACACTGGGGTCTACAGGTGCCATCTACCGAATGGTACCCCTATGCATGCCGAACTCATTGCCATATGGGGAGCGACTCCAAGCCTCCCATACACTATACAGAAACCCCTTCGTGTCTTTACTGACTTGCACGCTGCTTACCCAGAAATGTTTCGCCCAGCAAGGAAGATGCTATAGCTGCTCCTATTCAAAGCATCATTTGTAGGCATGAAAAAGCTGACAGACCAATAGAAATTATCTGAAAGTCGGAGCATATGGGTGCGCCTGGGAGCAATATGGTGGCACACGCCCCTGCTGCTTCCGCAGGTAGGTCGGCCGATCTTTTTCTGCCCCCCGCCTCCCATTTAAGGTAAACCCACATGAGCTCTCAAGTAAGATGGCTCCCTAAGTAACCACAATGCACTAAGTGTGCGCATTCCTACATCATTAGAGTAAAAAATGCATTGTGGGGGGGACGCCACCAGTCCTATCTTCAAGCAAGTGTTTGCTTTCGTGCTATGAAGGAGTCTTCATAAATAAAGTCTACGCAAACTCTGCATACACACCATACTCTTTAGCAAAATGGTGACAACTTGACATTTCAGCAGTGACGTGCAATCACTGCTGGCTGCGCTACCGCGCAGACCTTCACCACTTACTGTGGCAGTGTTCTGCATTTGATAAAGAGGGAATGGCCATACAAGCTTCGCAGTTCACAAATTATCGTGAAGCGCTCCTTACGAACCCAAACTCGCAGTTAATATTTGTGCAATTTAGAAGTCAGAGTGGCCATATCTGGGTGGTTTAGGGTGTCTGACAAACCACAGTACTGACTGCATACCACCTGAGTACTCGTGATGGTGAATACAATAAGTGCGAAACCTATGACACCGTAAAATATCAGTGTAGTTAGAAAGTCCCGCTTATTCTCACAGAGTTTATGAGACTCCCTTTTTTCTCTTTTTTGCAAGGAACAACTCTCCATATATCCTCTATAAAATTTTCATACACGTGAGTTGCCTGCTTTGTGGACTTTTCAAGCAAGCTACCAAACTTGCCTTCTTGCCGCGTGTTTTGGTTTTCTAGGTGGCCTTGCCGCCGTACGCTCTCCTCTGTTGACTCAATCCCAAGTGTGCTCTCCTCTCCTTATTGTTCCGCCCATTACCATCGCTTCGTTACACCAGCCACGCTGGGTCGAATTAAGAAGTTTATTTTTTTGGCTAGAAACGGGCCCAGAGCAGTTACATGTGTCCTGGCTTGTACGTCGTGCGTGCGCGTCTTGCTCGCTGTTGGTGTGCGTTTGTGGTCAGGATGGCGGACGAGAGGCGCCTTTTCCTGCCGCTCGATAAAACGTCGAAAGTGCGATCGCTTCGCTTGGGCATAATCTGTTGACCACCCGGCAGCCAACTTGCAGCTTTTGGTGTCCTGTATTCAGCTACGGTTATTCTGCCTATGCACTACATGCCCGGCCCATGTCCATTTCTGACTGTCTCATGCCCAGTCTGATAAGGACTGGATTTTTAGAGGAGGCAATCGGGTTAGGGGGAGACGGAAAGTTAAGTGGGAAGATGAGATTAAGAAGTTCCCAGGTATGTAATGGCAGCAGCAAGCACAGGATCGACTTGACTGGCAGATCGTGGGAGAGGCCTTTCTCCTGCAGTGGACGTAGTTAAGCTGATGATGATGATGATCATTCAGCTGCGGAAACGGTGAAAGCTTCATGGGTAGAGGTGACGGCTACATCTGTGCGAAATGGTTGTGTGAGACCAACTCCATCGACGTCAGACCTGATGCCAAGCCTGAAGTTTCCAAACAGAAACACTTCAAGACACAACTATTTGTGGCAACGTGTCGTCGACTACATGGGAGGGTGGGACAGTTGCTAGGACAATTTTCTTAAGGACAATGGTGACACTGATACTACGTAACTGCGCACAAATGAGGGTGTTTTGACTGAACTGCACGGCAGGAGCAATTTGGAGGAATTCGATGGTGACGACAAAATTTTGGAGCCAGTGCCCACAAGCACGCCTGTAGCAATAATATTATTCATTCATTCATTTTATTAAGTCAAAGGTCCCTGTTGGGATATTGCATGAGGGAGTGGGTGATAGAAAAGCTATTATTATAAGGGTAGTAATGATGTAATGGTTTCAATGAGCCGCTTAAATGCTTGGGTGTCGGTGATGGTGGCGACTTCAGTAGGCAGGTCATTCCTGTCTCGGGCTGTGTGTAGAAAATACGATTGGTCAAAGATGACAGTATGGGCTTGCATTGAATGCATTGGATATGTTGGGCAGAGGCCATTCCCATTCCTGACATCACAGCCAAAACTGTTGCTGGTGCTTTAGTTAGTCACTGGTTCTGTGGTTTGGGCATGCCATCATTCATCACAACTGACAGAAAAGCCAATTGGAGTCAGCAATATTCCCCAGTCTGACGAAGCTCGTCGATACATTGCAGATCAAAACGATGGCTTACCATCCGGTGAGAAACGAAATGCTTGATCGATTCAACCAGCACTTGAAAGCCTCACTCATGGCAAACCTTTTTATAGTAAAACTGCTGCTACAGAACCATTCTTAATATGAGAAGTGTAACTCACCCAATAATGACAATGTTCTTTCCTGTGTTCCCTCATCAGATAGGCTCCGCACTGTTTGGTCCAGCTTGCCTACAAGAAAGTAACACTTACAATGAAAACAAATCATCATTTGTGCTCCATGGCAAGGCAACAGTGTGTTCTTACTTAATGCAATAGATCTTGGTACCCTTAGGTGGCACCGGCATATTTTATTGTGAATAAAAATATGTTTGCAAAATTTCTATGTATTGCATCAAGACTGCATATGAAAATTCACTAATAAAAACACTGATATCTGCGTAGGTCAAGATATCCAGAAAATACGCATATATAAGCACAAAAACAAGACAGGAATGAAAAAATGTAACCTTGTGATCAAAATTCACAAACAAGAATCTGGCTTGATCGAACATGCTGTTTATGACTTTCTCATATGTAGACACTAATAATTTATATTGCCCGAGTATTCACAGAAAAGTAGTTTTCAACCACATCATTGACATACAGGCTATGCACAATTAAACCTTATTTCTTTGCAATACAAACTTTATATTACATGACACTTCTCCTTGTGGTTAGTTACCATTTTAGTTACATGAACAAACTGGTTTTTCATAAGGAACCGTGTCACGACAAGTACATTTCTCTGAAACGCCATTATTGATGCTCATAAACCATGCAAGAAAATAATGAACAAGTTCAACAGACGAGACACAAAAATATACCAATAGCTTCCTTGATTTTTGTTTTTCTCACAGTGATCGGCTGTGCATAATCTTTTTTTTTTTTTGTTCATCCTTCAACTCCATTGAGCTGCCGGCCATGTCTAGTTCATGAAGATCTTGCACTTATTTCTGCACTAAATTGCCGTCTTCTGTTTTGACTCGAATAGACTGCACGCATTATTCAGTGGTGAATTGTCCCGAAGGTATTAAAGTGAGCACTGACCTCGTTTATCATGCGAAACAATATTCTCCAAAAGAAGAACTTCTCAGCACATCGAGCCAAGTACCTTCTTGTCGTGCCTTTCGCATTGCGACCAGAAGTACTCCAGGCCCCACAGGACGACCCCACGGCCAGAGATTTGGGTGTTTCCCGCACGGTCGCCAGAATACAGAAAAATTATTACTGGCCTCGCCTTGCTGCCTACATTGCTCATTATGTGAAGACTTGCCGAGATTTCCAGCGACAGAAGACCCCACTAACTAAGCCAGCTGTTCTACAGCCCATTGAGCTACCACACCGACCATTCCAGCAAATCGGCATGTACCTATAGGGCCATTTCCTGTCTCGACTTCAGGAAACAAATGGATCGTCGTCGCTACTGACTACCTCACATGCTATACCTAGACAGGGGCCCTGCCGAGGGGCAGTGCATCTGAGGTAGCCAAGTTTTTTGTTGAAAACATTGTTTTACATCACTGCGCACTGGAGGCCCTAATCACCGACAGAGGTACGACTTTTATGGCAGACCTAACGTAGGCGATCCTGAGGTACAGCCAGACAAATCATCAACGCACCACCGCCTACCATCCGCAGACAAATCGCCTCACTGAGCTGCTAAACAAGACTATCGCTGACATGCTGGCCATGCACGTCGGCGTCGAGCACAAAACATGAGACGCCATCCTTCCATATTTGACCTTTGCATACAACACCGCAGTGCAGGAGACGACGCAGGTGTCACCATACACATTGTCTATGGAAAGAACCCGACAACGACGCTTGACGCCATGCTGCGAAACATCACTGATGAAAAAAACCTCAACGTGACCGCCTACCTTCAGCGTGCATAAGAAGCTCGTCAACTCACCCGTTTGTGCATCAAGATTCAGCAGGCAGCTGACACCCACCACTACAATCTTCAACGAAGCTTCTAGGAGTACCAGCCTGGTGACCGTGTCTGGGTATGGACGCCGATACGCCATCATGGACTCAGCGAAAAACTTCTGCGGTGGTACTTCGGATCATACAGAGTAGTTCAACGTCTCGGCCCACTCGATTATGAGGTTGTCCCTGACGGCATTAGGAACTCTCAATGACGCCATGCTCAACCTGAAGACATCCATGCCGTGTGCCTCAAACCATTTCATGCGTGAACCTGAGAACAGTAATTTGTTGCTGTTGTGTGTGTTTATTGTCTTTATTGTACATCCGTCTTTTGTTAAAGCATCGGGACGATGCCTTTTTCAAAGGGGGCAATGCCACGTTCCTTTCCTCAAGTTTTGTTATCACCCCGTTACACTAAGTTCAGCGCTAACCGCACCTTCGATGTTTAAGAGGCTTCAAGGCTGTAGTGGATTGTTTTGTTAAGATTACGCACATTTCGTGAACAATACAGATCATTCGAGAACCTATGTCGCCGCTAGCAATAACGCTAAAATATTCAATGGCAAGGGTATAAATTACGACACGCTTCGCCACTTGTCAGTTGATCGACGGCCGAGGCACTGTTCGCTTCTACCAGTGCCGGTGTCTTGCTGTAATCTAACTTTCCTTTCATGTGGCCACAAGTTCGGTCCGAATAAACAGTTTATTATTCGACCTGCAGTTTTCTGCCTTCGTTCACATCATGACCACAGGACAATACTTTCATTCCGTTTTCCAGCAGACTATTGCCACCTGCCACAAGTTTATAACATAGCTCTAGCACTTCTGGACATAACCAGATGGTTGTGCTTAACCTACTGCTGAAAGTAGACAGCAAAAAAAAAAATAATAATGTGGCTAATTCCTCTTTCAAGGAATCAATAAAACATGAAAAGTAGGTAACAGCTTGATACGGTAGGAACGAATATTTTGTCCCATCTGTGCAGCGGATCTAATTATGCTTGTGTCCCAGAAACAAACCTCAGTCACTTAGGTGGACCTTGGACACTTGTGGGCAATGTGAAATGGCACTAGCACTAAACCGATATCAGCGTCTGAGCTTCGGGAGTCACACAAAGAGCTACACTGAATAAGCGCCTCTCTAGTGTAACCATGTATGATACAGAATGGGGTTCAGTTAGCATGAATGCTAATGGGAGAGCCGCGCAGTATTTTTGTTGGCAATAAGCTTAGCTTCTTCCCTATCCCCAATGTTTACTATTATGATTGAAAGAAGACATTACATATTTTAGTCTTTTTGAATTACCACGAAAACATTGCACTAGTCAATAACATGCATATACGCCAGTGTCTGTATATGCTAACAGCCCACACAATGTTTAAAAGTGTTGTACTGTAGAGTGGAAAAGCTACTGAACAAATAAAGCGGCCAAGCACATTTAACGGGGACGCTCTTTGATGGCTGGTAAATAAACGAATAAGAAGCACAAGAAAAGCAACCTCTACTGACTAACAAATATATAAAACAGTTCTCTTACCTAACAGCCGCAGGGTATGCTCTCGGAAGAAATCGCCTTGGTGGGCATCGTGTCGGCACCGACATCATTCATTGCTGTTTAAGTCCGAGACGCCGCTTTTAGCACTGTAACTCCTTTGGTGTTCATGACTAATCTAGCATTGTCGTTGATTGATTGATTTATATGTGGGGTTTAACGTCCCAAAATCACTATATGATTATGAGAGACGCCGTAGTGGAAGGCTCTGGAAATTTAGACCACCTGGGGTTCTTTAACGTGCACCCAAATCTGAGCACACAGGCCTACAACATTGCCGCCTCCATCGGAAATGCAGCCGCCGCAGCCAGGATTCGAACCCGCGCCCTGCTGGTCAGCAGCCGAGTACCTTATCCACTACACCACTGCGGCGGGGCTAGCATTGTCGTTGCCAATTCATATGTGCCCATTTAACTTTGAAATACTTTTAAATCTATACAAACACCGGGCCCGACCCCACCGCCTGACACACTTGGCCGACTACAGCTGCGGCTGTGGCTGGCTGTAGTCAGCTCGCACGCACGCTTGCTGGCTTGAGCACTCGTGCCGTGGTGATGCAACAAAAACAAGAGTTTGTTTTCGCATTTTTTATTGGAATATTTTTTTCTCGTTAAATAAATTGAGCTGCAGATACTTTGAAAGATTATAATAAGCATAGCAAACTGAAACGTTTGGGGGCAGAAATAAAAATAATGATGGATGGATGGATGGATATGGCTGTACCCATTAGACCAGGGTGGTGGCTAGCGCCACTAAGCCGTAATACTTAATGAACCAAAAACTAGATTTATTTTTTTTTCTTTAAAAAGTGAGTTTGAGGATTCGTACTTTGCAATGAAGGGTTCAATTTTCACTCGTGCCTTTACTTTAGCCACAATCAGATAATCTCCTTCTAGTTAACTCTACCCGCTTAAAGTCTATTTTGCCCTCCCGGTCCCTAAACCCCAGTGCTTTGAAAAACTCTGCGCCATCATCCTGAACTCTAGGGGGAAGCCCTTTACAGAACATTATCGAGTGTTCGGCAGTTTCTTCTTCCTCTCCACACGCACTGCATACTGTGTCTACCCCTTCGTATTTGGCCCGATATGTCTTGGTTCGCAGTACTCCCGTCCTAGCCTCAAACAGTAGAGAACTAGCCCGAGTACTATCATAGATCCTTTCCTTGGCAATTTCCTGCTTAAAAGTTCGATAGATCTCTAGTGCGGACTTCTTAATCATGCCCATTCTCCACATGTCAGTCTCCGTTTCCTTCAATTTCTTCTTAACCGATAGTTCTTTTTGGTTTGGCCACCTGCTGTTTTCTAAGTATGTACCAGTCAATTTCCTGGTTCTCTTCCTCCATTTTGTATCGACATTCTTCATTTACAAGTAGCTGCAAACCTTCCTAGCCCAACGCTCCTCCCCCATTTCTCTCAATCGCTTCTCAAATTTTATCTTGCTGCTAGCTTCCCTGCCCTCAAATGATGTCCATCCCATATCACCTTGTACTCCCTGATTTGGTGTATTGCCGTGAGCTCCTGAAGCAAGCCCACCTATTCCACATTGCTTAATTTCTAATCTTGCTTGAAGTTCTGATCTCACGCACAAGACCGCATTGCCGAACGTCAACCCAGAAACCATGACCCCTTTCCATATTCCTCTCACAACATCATACATATTGTAAGTCTACGGTGCCCTATTTTTCATCACTGCTGCATTCCTGTTACC